AGAGAAAGGTAGAGGGAAATATTTCTGGGGAGGAATATCCTATAAGGGATATTCTGTTGAGCAACTAGGAATGGCAGAGATGCACAGGTGCAATAAGTATGGGACAAATATTGAATATGCTCAAGATACTCCCTTTTCTCATATATTTTTCTGGCCTGCAAGATGCTCCAGATCTCTCACAGGAGTTTCTGCACAATTTTGAGGCCCCTTCTCTTATTCCTGCCTGCTGATGGCATTGCCCAGGGCAGGCTGCGTGTGTGGGAGGATTGCTGGGGGTGCCTCTGTGATATCAGCTAGGAAGGAAAAGTTAATGCATAAGAGCTGGGGAAGTATTCCCCAGCCCTTACAGAAAGATGGACTTTTGGAAATTCAATCTGTGAATGAGACAAGAGAAAAGGAACTAGAGCTGTGAGCTCTGGTAAAGTAACAGGCAGTGTTTTTTGAGTGGAGGGGGATGGTCTTATGGTGCCCCATGCCACTCTAGCAGTTGTGTTTTGCAACAGTGAGTTCCTCTTATTTCATCACTTTCAGAACAAAATAAACAAATTTGAAGAGAAGATAGCAGGAGAAACAGGGAAATTTGTATATGTCAGGGAACTCACGTGTCACCCTGTATCTGATCACTCTCCAACAGCTAAAGAGGTTATCGCATAATTAACAAAGTGCTAGTGCATTAAGAAAGTAGAGCCCTGATGGTGGAAAGTTAGTAAATATCACTAGTTTATTCAACTTCCTTGGCACCAAATTCACAGTTATGTTGTTCCTGACTAAATACGTTTGTGAAATGTAATGTTGCCCCATGAAATTTGCTTTATTTTTTTTTGCTTTGGGAAAAAGTACAACTGTTTTTCTAGCTGTGAAGTGCAGTTTCACATCTTCATGGTTTTCATTGCCTTGTTTGCAATAAAGCTTAAACACCAGAGAACTGAAGGAAAATATGAAACAAGATAAGCATTTAATACAACTCTTGGAAACCTTGAGGTTTTAATGGCTTTGCCATTTATTATTTATATTGCATGGTGGGTGCACATTTTGCCAAGCAATGCATAACCAGGCAGCTTCTCAGACTATGGCTGCAAAATCGAAACAAAATGAAAGAACATCAATATCACTGTGTTCCTATTTAGCAATAACATTCAGGTTTAAGATTATTTTAGTTCCTCCTTTACATTCCAGTCTGAAAATAGTTTGTTATTAGATCTCTTAAAACATTAGTGTGATTGTAGGTTCTCCTGAGCATAAGGTCAAATAAAAAGAGGCTTTACAGCACAGCTGTAATATATTGGTTGGGAAATGACAGCAGGGAAGGGAGTGCTTCGTTAGAGGCTCCCTTGATACCAGTTTGTTATGATTCTCAGCAGCTTAGATGAGACCATTTTCCTTTTTTTTTACATTTACATGCAACTGAACAGTCTTCAGAGGAGGAACTAGTGTATTTGCACAACTATTTTTTGCTTTTGCAATAGCGAGTTTGTGCTGTTTGGCAAACAAGAACAAAGTGTCACTTCCAGGCAATGTGTAATCCAGATGTCCTAAAGCCATCTGAATTTCAGACTGTCTCAGGGAGTGTTTTATTTTCTTTCTGAATGCTTATTACCTTCCATTTCTTTCTTGTTGTCAGTTCCACTGTCTTTCTTGCTCTGACCTGGAGAACTGTCTTCCCCTTCCCTTATCATGTCTCAGCATCCAACCGTGTGCTGACTTTTACCTCATTCTCCCTAAGGAACTTCAGTTCTTTCACTGATCTTCCATCACACCAAGTGCTGATAGCTAAACTGTTTGCATTCAGTCCTTGTCAAACTCCCCTCCCTCTTGCCATGCCTCTTCCCTGCCCAGCCTTTCTCTTTGCTTCTTGCCATACATCACTGTGCTCAAAGGCATCACCTGGTCCTCACTGGCTGATTTTCCCTTTGCTCTTCCCTTAGCTCCTCAACATTTATTCCCTTCAAAGTAGCTCCTTCAACTTGTTCATGCTGCTTATCATCTCCACATATTCTCCTTTGCTCGTACATCATACTCCACACTTTTTTTTTCTCTATATCTGTCTTGTCATCCTGGTTTTGAAAACAGTTTGGAGCAGAGCAATGCCCCATCAGCTTACAATGCCTTCTGGATTATCAGTAATTGGACTATTCACCCAGGGTTGTTGGACACCCTCTTAATGGGATGCCCAAAATATTTTCAGTTTGCATTGAGGATGGTGAAGTTCTGGAAGTGATTGACCCCTCAAAGCAAATGGCTTTGCTCTTGGCTGATAAAATCATAAGGAAAATGTTGGGCCTGACCTCTTCCACCATTATCCAGAAACACTTTGCATTTTCTGTGTGACTAAATGTCATCATTTAATGATCCAAGCAAAATAAGCATTTTATATACTGAAAAGTAGCTTTTTGAAAGTGGATTTTCCCCTTTCTGCTGTGTTGCTAAGGCTTTGGACTGTTACTCTCTTGGTTTCCCTATGTTTTGTTTTTACTACTTGAATAATTTTTAAAAATGACAGTGATTTTTAATTGGAAATAACTCTGAAACCTTTAAGCTAAAAATTCTGGTTTGAATTAATTGAGTGTAAATTCGAGGGCTTCCACACACTTTGCAGAGGTCTTCTGAGCCAAGATGTGTGGTGAAGATATTAATCTCTTTGCCTGCCTTCGTTGCAGTCCCTTGCTAAAACTGGGATTACAGGTAACCATGCAACTGTGTAGAGGTGGTGGCTATAAAGGGATTTTCTTGTTGGTGTGGATTTTACGTGGCAGTTGTACTGCAATGAACACTGGTGTCACACCCTCAGAGAGATGATGGGTTACAAAGCACTTGACCTGCTGAAATGGCTGTGCAGATGGTGGCACAGTGCTGGCTGGCAGAGGGTGCCTGTCCAGATATCACTGCTTCATAAACAGAGTGGGGTATTAGTCAGTGACACTCAGGGGTGTTAGATGCTGGAGCTGACAAACGGAAATCAAGAGATACTTAAGGGTGTGAAAATGCAGAAGAAACTTGGTTGTGTGTTGGAACAGGCAGTGACAATGCTTCCATCTACACACAGGTACAATGCTACCTGAGTAGTTGTACTCAGGTGATTGAGGACCAGGTCGCATTCTTGGTGCAGAGATGCATCTGATTTCTCAGCTGAGCATAGTTACCTTTACATCAGAGTGGATAATACTGCCTTAAAAAAGATGCCAAAAGGGGTCATTGCAGCAAAGCCCTTCATCCTATTATTAGTATAAAATCTCACAGATTTAAAAACATGTACTATCAATAGGATTCTCTGTATTTGGCAGTCAGTTACTGATCAGAGGCCACAATGTTTTATGCAGTCAAGAAAAGTCCATTTTATGTTGGCAATAAATTTTTTATCAAGCTTATAAAACTCTGCAGAAGTAATGTTATAGACAACAACCTGTAGTGTTTCTTACCTGTTATTGGCAAGAACCTGTGGTGTTTCTTATATGTTAAGCCTAGAACAATCTCAATGCTATTAAAAGTTGTGTTGCAAATTATATTGCTTTATCAAGTCACTAGACTGGAAGGGATGATTTTGCAGTGTAATGTGGTTTTTCTTGCTGATAGTGTAAGATTTTCATGTGTCTAAGTGCATTTTGGGTAATCCAAGTTTTGCAAAAACACACTGCAGGCAACGGAAGAAAACTGGTAGTGAGGACTCAGAGGCAGGAAAGATACCAGGGTGATGGAGGAAGACTATGGATCTGATTTTACCCTGGCATGAATAATCCACATTGCTGGTGGATCATAGAGAATTTAAAGGTAATCCCTGAATGTATGGTGGTTAGAACAACTTTTAACATTATATTAGTATTGCAATAGCAATCAATGCATGAGTTCAAGAGAGCACTCAATCTGAAGCCCACATAGGCTGTACACTGCTCTCCTGAACTCTGCATTTCTGTAGAGGATTATAGCAAATCTGTAATTATTATTTTAATTGTCCAAGCCTACAGGATTAAATGTTAATTTTAGTCTAGGAATGGGATATTTCTGATCGTTTTTCCCCCTCATTTGAACATTGTAGCTACAGCAACTACTTCCCAGGATCAACTCAGGTTTCCATTCTATTTAAATAGTTGCTTGGTTATTTAATACTTAGAGACATAGGACACTAGAGTCATTCTCACAAATATAGAATAATAGATAGTCTGTCTCCTGAACAGTTTCCTCATGAATAGATGCAAAGGACAATAGGTGCATGAAAAAACAGAGGGGTATAATGTGCATCTTCTGGCAGTGTATTTAATGATGTGGGAAATGGAAGTAAGCTTTCCTTTCTAATTTTTGAGAAAGGTGCCTAGAAAGTGAAAGTCTAATCCTTCCTTCTGTTTTATATCTGATGAGAGGAAAGGCAGGAAAACTCCTTCCAGCCACACATTCCTGAAGCTACCCAACCTCAGGCACTAACTTAGATACCTTGGGAGGAAAGTCCTTAAACTATCCAAGGAGAGAAGTAGCTGACTTCTGGGAAGTCAGACTTGGTGCTCTGAACACCTTATGAAGGAGCTTCTCTCCATCCCTCTACCTTGTAAGGGTGATCAGCTTCCTCATTATGTACCCAAAGGTAAGTGGCTCCAACCCAGAGCCCCAGGAGGCAGGCAGGGCTGCTACTCTTCTGCCAGTACTGCTGAAGAAACCTGTGGTGAATTGTGCTTCCAAGGGGGAATAGTGAGAACCAGCACAATTTTTTCTTTCTCCATGAGAAGCAAATGTTAGCAGAGGTAGGATTTAATTTGAATTAAATTAGTATAAATAACACTGTTGGGATTTTGAGCAGGGCCTGGCAAAACAGTAGGACATGGGTTTGTATCTCATGTACACAGGGTTTTACCCCTTCGCTTGATTTCAGGATGTAGAGGGGAACTGGGTTTTCAGCTATGGGGAACTGCTCCGAGACTTTGAACATCCAACCCTCTCTTTTTCATCACAATTGCCAATCCAAAAAAAGCACCAAATGAAAACATATGCTTTCTCCTTGCAGACGTGCCACTCAGAGCAATAAGCAATGGCGTCGACAGTTCACTTCTCGGAGGAGGAGATGGCAGAGCTACGAGAGGCTTTCAGCAAAGTCGGTGAGTACGGCGAACAGGAAAGACTGCAGAAGTGTGAAGCCGTAGCAAGCTCTTTTCTTACGAACTGGCTGACCAGCCATGAAGAAATGGAGCTTGCTCCAGTGCTGATCTGCTGTGTCACAGCAACCACAGAAAGTTCTTTTCCTGCCACTGCAGACCTCCAGATGAAACCACATCATCATGCTGCAGAGCAATGGCCTCTTACCACAGTGGGACGGCATGGCGATGAACAGCAGGGTTTATGAAAAAAACCTTAAAAGCTTTATAGAAAACCATGTTGGAAATGCTCTCAAGTGTTTTCTGAAGAATGTTTCTTATTTCTGACAAATTATTTGGAAAGCAAAGAGGTTTTACTTTAACGTAAATTGTGTGCTTTCTTTGGGGAGGAAGAGTCTGGAGAGGACAAATGTGCAAATGGCTAAAATATTTGTAGTCCCTTTACAATGACCTTTCAAGCCTCATAGATTTCTACTGTGTGTGCTTCCTTTCCAAACCTTTAAAGGTTTCATCTGATTTGTCTTCTTTAAAGTCACACTGACCCATCACTGTCTACCCAAGCTCTAAGAAGAGGTCCTTGTGCTTCTCACAGGTCACTTAACTTTTATTAGCAGGTATATCAGCCTCGCTGGATTATGCATTTATCATTTGTCCTTGCTGATTAGGTGGTGGTTGTTTGTTTTCTGAGAACATAGTAGTCTAGGCGGACAATCTTAAAAGTCTGTTCTCTGTGAATGTGCCATACAACCAATGCACTGACAAGACAAATCATAGAATAATAGAATGGTTTGGGCAGGAAGGGACCTTATAGATCGTCTAGTTCTAACCCCTCTGCCATGGGCAGGGACACCTTCCATGAGACCAGGTTGCTCAGGCTGCTTACCCAAATGCTGAAAGGAAGCTCTCATTCCTCTCCCAGACATCTCCCTCTCCAAGTCCACATCCTTTTGTTGTATGAATTCAGAAATGGATAGGATGCTCTTTGCAATCTGTATTAATCTGTGCTACTGATGCTGAGTTGAGTGCCTTTTTGCAGCATGCAGCAAATGACTCACATTGCAACTTACCACGCAGGAAATCAACACCCATCTAGATAGCAGAGAAACACCCAAGTTTTTATTTTGAGGATGATCATAAGCAGTTCCAAGCCTCTCCATTCATGACTTCTGATAATACTAGATGCAGAAAACAGGGCAAAATCACAAGTTATATTTATGAATAAATGTACATGTATATTGCATCAACTTTATTTTCTTTAGCTGTTCTGTAGACAGGATGCTTCTTCTATAAATCACATGTTCATCTCTATGTAAACCTTGGAAAGGCAATTATATCCATTTACACCTAGCTTTGTTAAGATATTACTATATATCTAAAAAATGCAAATTCATCACTGAGTTTTTGTTTGTTAAAAGGTGATTGTAATTTCCTTGGGTGTGAATGACACCACAGCAGTTGAAAATACTAGATTTCAAGATAGCAAATCTTTATATATAATGTACCTTTCCTCAGGAAAAATATAAACAACAGCCTTTGTGTGCAAAAAATTTCATTGGGCTGATGTAGAATGTAAAATGTTGCTTTAATCTTCGCAGATATCAGTGGGGATGGCTTCATCGATGCCAATGAATTAACAGAAGTGTTGAAGGCTGCCAGTCTCCCTCTCCCAGGATATAAAGCCAGAGAACTCATTCAGAGTGTGACAACCACGGGGAATGGCAAGATCAGTTTTGATGAATTTCTTTCAGTAAGTAAGATGTTATTTATTTCAGTAAGTAAGATGCCAGGTGGGCTACCCAAGGTGGTTCTCAGGGCACATCAGAAGCACAAGCATAGGGTATCATGGGCACCTCATTAATCCAAGCAGTCTTCTCACTGGAAAAGTTGAAAGCAAAAGGTAACCAAACTAGAAATCCTGCAATTACCTGTGACAAGTTACATGAATGCAGCTGCTTATTGCATAGACTTCATATCTTTCAGTTTGGTTGATGCAGCAAGATAGTTTTTCAGTTATAAGTTGCAAAAAGATTATGTTCTGGATAGAGTATTACAAGAAGTGTCAGTAGATTCAACGTGAAAACTTTATGGGGCATTAAAAAAAGTTTTTCTTTTCCTTGTCTGAACTGAGTCAAAAGCAAATGTTAAAATAGTGGAATTGACCTTGGGATGGAGAAGCAGGGTTTTACTTGCCCTTTCTTCAAACCCAAACTGCCCTCCTTCAAAGTAACATTTCTGTTACTTAGCTGATCTTTCTTTACTGCTTTGAAAGCATAAAAGCTGTGTATAATCTTGTTGGACTACAGTGGGTACGGATTGTACACAGAAACCTACTGAAAAATACTCAAGCTGTCCTTCCTTATGTATGAAGCAGTGAGACTGCATCTCCTGGCCCCAGAGCTCACTGTTTTAGCTTGGTTTAATTCTCCAAAATTTTAAAATTGTCTCCTATCCTTGACAGATTTTCCAAAACCTGAAGAGTGACGATGTCGCTAAGTCGTTCCGAAAACAAATCAACAAGAAGGAAGGGATCTGTGCTATTGGTGGGACATCAGAGCAGTCCAGTGCTGGCACACAACACTCTTATTCAGGTAGGTACAGCTGTCCTACATTAATAGCAACAAGTGTGTCCTCAGAGATCATCTGCACCTTGTCTCAGTGCAAGCCTGGGTGCTCTAGCTAAGTGAGTTTTGGCAGCTGTTCAGTTGAGGCTGGTGCAGAGCAAAGAGCTCTGAAGGTGACAAAGCACTGGAGCAGGGTCTTTGTCAACAGTATTCTGAGCCAGTTTACTGGGGTGGACAGTGCTGTGGCTATGGGAAGAAGCTCCAGCCTGCTTATCTTCCATTACCTTAAATACACTGCAGCTCTGCTGGAGAACAGTCTCCTGTCACAGCTGAAGCATCACAAAGGCTGTCCCATTCCTGTCTCTGTTCACCAGTGAGGCAAGGCACAGGTTCCCCACTGTTGCTAACCCATTTCCTTGTACATTAAACTAGTAGTCTGGCAGTCATTCTGTAAACTCACCTGTAACCAGATAGTTCCTGATTTTTTTTTTTCAGAGGGCAAAATCCCATAATGGATAGCTCCCAGCTTGTTTCTCCAAGCTGAAAGTTTGACACAGCCATGGTTGCTTCTGTTGCCTCCAGGGCACAGTCCACTCTCAAGCAGCTCCACAGTGAGGAGGTTCCACCCTTGGCTGTTTGCTCTAGGGGCAAGAGGATGGGACTGACTCTTTCTGGGGAAGGGAGAACAGAAGATGCTTCCAAGGTTTCCACCCACATGAGCACAGAGGGCACCTTCTCTGAGCTACTGGGCGTGGTGTGAGCTGCTACTGGTATAGGATAGCTGTGCCCTGTTAACTACAGGCAACAATAGCCCATTACTCTCTGAATACTCCTTGTCAGAGTCTAATCCTGAACAGGCTTGTCTAGATATTCCACATGAAGAAGGTGTAATGTACAATACAGAATCCACTTATTTGAATTTATTTGAATTTATGCAGGATTTTGATTTAGCAGAGTGGTACAACAACACATTCAGATTATGGTGCAAGTACAAATTACTCTTTACAGAGTTAGGAACTGCACCAAAGAGCTGAATCACACGAATGTCATTACCAATCTCTATAATATGCCTGCCCTCATGACACTAGGCAACCCCAGTGAGTGGGAAGCAGTATTGAAGGAGAATTAACCAGCTCACCCATTGCTGTCTTCATCTCATTTGCCTATGTCCTCAGTGCCTTCTTCCTTGTAGGGTATTTTTTTGATCAGTCACACTGATGGGAGGGATGTCTCCCCCAGGAGTTCTGTCTTTGTAAGTAAAATGATGGCAGAGGTACTGCACTGCAAGCTGATGGATTTGACATTGTGTCCACAGAGGAAGAAAAGTATGCCTTTGTCAACTGGATTAACAAAGCCCTTGAGAAGGACCCTGACTGTAAGCATGTGGTCCCAATGAATCCAGAAACAGATGACCTCTTCCAGGCTGTCGGGGATGGCATAGTCCTTTGGTAAATAATACCTATCTTTCTCACAAATGGGGAACTGTGAGTCTGCAAAAACTCACATCTCTGCTTAAACAGAAGCTGCTGAATTTACATTAAGCTCATGAACCTTTGCAGACTCAGGGCCTTAATAATACTAGGGGTTTTTTACTTCTTTTATCATCAAAAATATAAAGCACCTTTCATGTTTAATGAGAGTTTCTCCTTGCCTCTAGACCCTTACAATTAGATGAAGTCAGTGAAATTTGAGGAGCTACTTGGTTTTATTTTTGCCCAAGGACTTTTGGGGGTTCACACAAAGCAGCAAAAAATAGTGAGTGCTTTCACAGACATTTTCTGCACAATAAACTTGTCACACAACTTCACCTTGTGGTATTCTTGGCCTCATACCTTACAATCTACATGTGACTCAGAAGAATTGCTCAAGTATTGAGTGTGTACCTCTGTGCATATATGTAAAAACAGAGGGTGACCATCTATATTTGTTAAGTAACTCTCCAGCTCTTAGACTTGTCCTACAATGTAGTGACATAAACTACACCTGTATTTTGCACATATGTAGCTGTTAGTGTATTTCTTGTTATTTTTTTCTTTTGTTTTCAGTAAAATGATCAACTTTTCAGTGCCAGATACCATTGATGAGAGAACAATCAACAAAAAGAAACTCACGCCCTTCACTATACAGGTAGTAAAATGCAACAAGATTCTCTGCTTTTCCCCTTAGGATGCTTTGAAGTAATCACTTAGAGCAAAGGCTGGAGATACCATGGCTCTGTGCCCAACACAATCAAAGTCACTTGTGGCAAAGTGAGATGCTCAGGTCCATGTCATAAAAACATAAAGATTTATACTTCTGTTTCTTTCCAAACATACGAGCAATCTGACCAAACAAACCCTATGTATAATGTTTACTAGATCAAAGCTTCAGATGCTTTTGTGGTAGATGCCATATAATTGCAAGAGCAACTAGATGAAACGGTGACCAATTCCAGTTGGAGTAGCTCTCAGAAGACTGAACCCCATATCTAAGGCATGGCAATGGACTTGAACTCACAACTGCTATGTTGCAGTCTGATGTGCTCACGAAAATGTTAACCGTGACCCTGGAAGTACCATGGTGTGCAACATAACTGAAATGGGACCTTAGCCTTTGCTTGCCTTTTACAGGCCATGTTGTTTCACCTTGAATACTGAATCCCTTCTTTATTTCTATTACATGCACATGTATGTGATTTAAAAATTGGACAAGAAAAGCGCTAATTTTACCTATTTAAAGTTTATTGTGTTTCTCACACAGCAGTATGTAGGGATATATTTTTATATAAACAACATCTATGTATCTGGGTACAGAATATAAATAGATATATGGAATAGATGTGAACCTAACCCAGTTTACCCCTCAGCTACTCTGATTTGATGGAACATTAGTCAGACTCAAGTAAGCTCAGAAGCCATTAAATTGAATTTTTATGCTGTATACCACATTTTTCAGTTCTAATCATTTTGGTCAGCAGCATAGCTTAATGATGCAGCTCAGATCAATCCCTGTCACACATAGACATGATTTGATCAATACACCTTCCACTTTAACTTAACCCTTTTGCAGCTGTCTGGTGAAGAAAAGGTAATTAATTTGAAATGGTCCAATTTTTCTGGCTTATGAGAATTTACACTATGTCTCTTTCTGCATTTTGTATCTAATCAAATCTCTCTGTCATGCCAGCAGTGCTGAAATTCTTGTGAAAAATTGTGAATCTGTGTGATAAAATATATTTTCATATAATTTTATATTCTTTGCCTGCTTTACTTGCCCTCTGTTCACCGAGCCTCCTTTTTGAATCGTGTAGACCTGCGGGTCATATTTTCTTAGTCCCTTTGTTTTAAATGGACAGGAAGTGGTGAAGGAAGATAATGTTCCTGAAGGATCACCTGCTTTCTACCCCTCACTATGAATCACTGAATCTCTCTGTTTCCACTGCACACTCCCAAACCAGGACTCCATTCTCCAAAGTTCAATACCAAAATATTTAG